TGTCTTTCAGCCACACTCCCTGATCTTCTGGTAGAAAAGATCTACAGCTAACCTTCTCGGGCAAGAGCGAAAAATCTCGGAGGTCCTGTGTGCAAGTTGCGCCCGTTAAAGATCCCTTGGTGGTCAAATATCGATAAGAGTAGGCTTCGGCCGCCACAACAATTAACAATTTGCACAGCGCAACAACTCGACACTGCATAATGTAGCTTATGTATGGGAAGGTGGGATAATTCCACACTCCCACTCACAACCCTTACAAATCTGTTTGACATTCAGCTTAGTTGAATTGTTTCCTTCTGTCTGTGCTACGTTTTATTGTTCAATTTAGCTTTAATTTCTTGTATGTCTGTCCTTTTGTTTTCAGTTTGGCATGTGTGCTCATGTGGGTGTGGAATTGCCCCGCGATATTAAACGTTTAATTAAGTTGAAAAATGAATGTATAAGGATGTTGATATCGTAGAATTCATATAATGCTTCGTTTCCTAGCTTATCCGACCCCTAGTAAAAACATTGTGAAGGATGTGTCCTCTTCCTACATAAAGTAGCTTCTATAACACTTGTCTCACAATCCAGTGGAAAAGTATGGTGTGGAATCCCCCCATTTGACAGTATTTATAAAACTATCAACGCATGATGATGTCTGTCAGCAAGTAGGGGTAGGTGGGTGGCGGGTGCTCTGATGTGGTTTTCTCCTTCTTTCCTATCTAACATCTATCATCTTTTTCTCCCTTCCTTCTTTTTTGTGTTTGTTACTCTCTTGCAACACCTCTAATCTTCGGCACTTATATGACCTTATTGTGTTTGTTACTCTCTTGTAACACCTCTAATCTTCGGCACTTATATGACCTTATTGTGTTTGTTACTCTCTTGTAACACCTCTAATCTTCGGTCGTAAAGCACTTACTAAAACGAAACATCAGCTAGTTATTTATAGCCACATCTCGATTGCTCCAAGTTGCAGCAGTGACGAGGTGTTATTGTACTGTGGCATTATTTACTCACCCTCGTAAAAAAAACCGCCATAGCGTCACAGCAGTGCCCATGACTACCGCCATAACAGACAGCTCACATCGCTGGCCTGTTCACATTGGTGGGGCTTTTTATAGTTTTGTGGTAATTCTTCTTCTCTTTCTCTTCTTTTTCTTCTATTTCTTCTTTTTCTTCTATTTCTTCTTTTTCTTCGTTTTCTTCTTTTTTTCTTATTGTCTCTTCTTTTTCTTTTTTTTTTCTTCGGTTTCTCTTCTTTTTCTTTTTTCCCCTTCTTTTTTCTTCCATTCTTTTTCTTCCATTTCTTCTTTTTCTTCTATTTCTTTTTTTCTTCGATTTCTTCTTTTTCTTCTATTTTTTCTTTTCCTTCCATTTCTTCTTTTTCTTCTATTTTTTCTTTTTCTTCGATTTCTTCTTTTTCTTCTATTTTTTTCTTTTTCTTCTATTTCTTCTTTTTCTTCAATTTCTTCTTTTTCTTCTATTTTTTCTTTTTCTTCTATTTCTTCTTTTTCTTCGATTTCTCTTCTTTTTCTTTTTTTTTCTTTTTTTTTTTGAAGAACTAGGGTTGTGAAACTAATCCCATTGGTCGATCAGTTCCCTTGTGACGTCTGTGATAATTACCTTTTTCTGCTTGTGACGTTCCGGATCTCAAGGATTTGGAGGTTGATATTTTCAAAATGTGAAGGTTGTTTTTTCAAAAGTCGTTTAGTCGAATAGAAGTGTATGTTTGTGTATGTGGGTGCGTTTGTTTGTGTGTGTGTGTGTGTGTGTGTGTGTGTGTGTGTGTGTGTGTGTGTGTG